TATATCAAATGGCAGGCGTTTTGATTGGTATTATTAGCCCTTTAGTTGACTTCAGGCTTCACAGTGGGGAGGAACATCAAAGGGAAAAAAATCGAGAGGGGGGGGGGACAGAAGTGTTTCAAAGAAGTAAAAGAGGCAGACACAAAGGTATAAAAAAGTTGAGGTGAGTACTGTGGAAGTGGTGGAATATGACTTGCAGTGGGGTGATGGTAGTTTGAAGTGAGAAGTCAACTGCCGAATAATAGACATTTTTGCCGTATGAGTATACGTTGCCCAGGGTGCACCACGTGGAGGTAAATCTATCACGCACCCCACGTAGGATATCATAGATGGATGCATACTGCAATCTAGAAGATTAATCAAAAGATTTGGATTTTGAAAACTGTCTCGCCCTTGGACTCGCATGAAATCCGAAAATCAAATGCCTTTGTGTTGCCCTCACCTTTTCACTTCCTTCCTCTCTCTATCGCTCAGTTCAGATTTGACAATAGATGGTTCAAACATGGTCATCATGAACCTTATGCGTTGCTATCGATAAGAGGATCACAAAGCACATTTTAAATAAAATAACTTACTTACTACTACTGGACTTGGACTATTCTGGCGAAAGGCGATTTCCTCTTATGATACAATTTTTATTCGTGAGGAGTGTGGAAAGGGCTTCACAAAACTGGTGGTTCTTAGTTGACACAGTTTCTGTGTCCATGTTAACATCATGTATGTTAACACCATTTTCACAATTTCTAAACGCTTGGGTTAACGTTTTAAGGGCCGTTTACAAAAGGTTTATACACGAATACGGACCCAGGTTTCAAAGATGCTAGACTTTGACCCATAGGAGTGTTAACCCTCTCGTTTCGCCCACTTTTTGACCCAAGACTATTGATTTTTTGGAATAGTAATAGGGGCAACTACAATCGTTGAAAGAACTTGGTTCACTTTTTACCTGTTGTATACAAATAATAATAGTATATGAAAGGGAACTAACGTTACCTTCCCTTCTATTCGCAAATGTGATTTCATTCCAGTGTCCGATTTGTAAATCTTTTATTTACATGGAAAGTCCTAATAGACTTTGATGATGATCATAAGAGTAAGACGGCAATCCACATCCATTTCTATTGGTTCGGTCACCTCATACTTCAATTCTCAATCATTTTAAACTAATGGAACAGTCAAATTTTATGCCACCTTGATTGTCTAAATAACATTTAATTTCGTACATCTGTATAGTAGGTCTATTCTACTATCGTAAGGCTACGAAGTCCAGTTTCTGGCGTTATAGTAAGGCAGCACAATAGTAATGGTTAGGATAAAGTCGACTTCGATCTGAACGGATTGAAAATTCAGATAATTATTAGGACACGAACAAGTCGTATTCATATCATTGGCGTGCAGGTACATAAATTGTACCAAAATTTAGAACTACGAATTACCATAGTTTTGTTATCGACAATTTGAATGCTAATTTATATTTAAGCACGATATGCTTAGGTTTTTTCCTATGATCATTAAATTTATATCGGTTTTTTGGAAGAAAAACGAGGTGACCCAATATCCGGTCAAAACATCTTCGAGATGAAACAAAGATTGAAGCGGAGAGGACCACATCCTTTAGACCCCTTTAACGCATCACCGCTTGTACCAGTACAATTTACGTTTATAATTATATTAAGGCATAAACTTTGTGCCTATTCGTAACATTTTATTCCTTAAGACTTTTTTACAGCAAAGATTAAATTAGTGACAGGTCTCAGTAAGTTTCACATGGATAACCCTGCAATTGAAAATATTTTCATTCAAAAAAATACACGAAAGTCATAATGGTGTTTTGCATACCTTTTAAAGGCTAGACTAACTGGCATAGATGCTTCGAAACTACTGATATGAGTCTGTTTGCCATACAGGCTCAAACTCCGATGAGATCAAATGCGTAGATAATCAAGCCAGGAGGTTAAAGTATACGTCTATGAAGGAGTGCGATTGTATCTCACATCGAACTACCAAACAAACCATTATAAAGCCACCTTAAAATACAAAAAAAATTAACACAAACAGATCATTTGTTTGCTTACAAATAACGCTTTGTACAAACAGTATCTTGACAAGAAATAAAATGTTTTCATTTTATCAGTAAAAGGTACTAAGCAATTTACTGTTCAGGAAACGGCACTGTACCCCTTCCAACCTTTTTAGGCAAGGTCATAAGAGAGGGCGGAGCTAAAACAACCTCCCCGAACTTGATTTCATCCTTCAGATGTTCGTAACCTGATCGACGTCTGTCAGCCTTCAACACTTTCTTCATGATCTTCTTCTCGGCCAGTCGCCTAAAAGAATAACACTCAAAAACCATAAATGAAGGCTTACTTGAGCGATTTTTTGGTCTTATTGGATTTGAATGTTTCCGGATCAACCATTGGAGCCTATATAGATACTATACAGAAGCAATAAAAGCCGTACTTTGTCTTTCTTTGCTCGAGAAACTTTCAATAACTCATCTTGAACGACTCGATCTAAACGCAAGGCGTAGCTTTCTGGAGTTTCTTTCTTGCCTTGTCTAGGAATTTTTTCAGGCTTCTTATTGCAACCTTTCGTATCGCCCTCATCTAGAAAATAGGCAAAATGAATCCACAGCTTGACTTACTTGAGATGTACCGATAGGGATTTAACTTATTCTTGACGGCTTTAATTTGCGCCATCATCTCAAGGTAACTGGATGGGGGCTTTTGATTGTCATCTTTAATTGGATCTAAATCAAATTTACTGTTTCTCAGATGAAACGTGGTTAAATACAAGAAATTACTTACTGGCAATCACTCCAAAGAGGGGCAATCTGCTTTAACTTTTTGTGCTTACGCGTTTTCAATCCACGAGTTATAAGAACAGGCTTAATACGTTCAGTTTTTTTTGGTGTGCCCGTATTTGTCTTGCGTAGACGAGCGCTTCGGGCTTTGCGACCTTAAGAATAATAGTAAATTGTCCTTCTAACCTCGCAGTTGTGCTGCTTTTGACATCATCAATGAATGTCCAATTGGGAAGATTAAATGAAGCAATAAACTGATTCTAAAAATAAGGCGACATGTGTGAAAAGGTAAGATGATTAAAAGAGCAATATAAAAAAGAAATGGGCTGATTTCACTTAAATAATAAACGAAACGATCAACGTGGAACGTACTGCAAGTTGAGGACTCGTGTGCTAAGAAAAATCGAAACTGGGCTAAAATACTCACAATGTCTACCAGTAGGAAGGCTCTTCTTGTCGCAGCAACCAATCACCCGCTAGCAAGTTAGAAGTAGCTTATCAAGAATGAGTGACTATATATAAGATATTTATCAGGTCACGTTTGCAAATCGTATGCGTGGTATAACAAACATTTTGAACCTCTAAGTGCTAAGTCTCACCAATGTTCAACACACTTATGAATATTTGTCTCTGTCGAGCCCTTGTTTAACCAATTCGTAATTAATTCCACGATTCGACTTACATGGTGGATCTTTGAATATGTAACCGTATGGAGCCTAAAAAAGATTCAAAGGCAAATGCCTGGTAATTTAGCATAGATCGCAATTAAATGCATTAATTTCTAATACATTAAGATATAATTTTTATACCTACATGGGATGCAATTTTCTAATGAAAATTAAATTGCTTGCAAATGTTTCAACAAGCGAAATCAAGTAATTTATCATTTAGGAAAGATTAATTATATGATTTAAGCTATCGAATTTAGGAAAAATAACCTTAATTCAAATTCTGGGATTAATCATAGCGTACCTTCGTATAATGGCTTTATGCATTTGAGACCCCATATCCTAATGTTTATAACGCATATTTTCAGAAATTTGGGTTCCCATATTAAGAAAAATCAATGCCATTATTTTGCCATTGGTGATATAAAGAATGAATTTTCATATAAAAATTATCGATATAAGTATTGCCCTTTATTTTCTGCTCATTTCCCTTTATTTCAAACGAATTTGGTAATCTCTGTGGTAAAGGCATATACTGACTTGTCGATAATGCTATTATTTGGTTAGTTTTTCATCGCTCTCCTTTCGAGTTGTATTTGTATCTGTAATTAATTCTTATGGAATCTACGAGTCAATCATTAAAATTTCAAAATTTTATTCTAAAGGACGGTCGTTCCCCGTCTAATGAAACACAAATTAAATTCTATGGTGCATAAATGTTCCACTTCAAAATGCAAAAATATTTCCGAAACTGAAAATATGATGTGGCTTTGCTCTTTCCAACTATTTTGTTTTTTGTGATATAAAAACTTTGATTAGCAAATTCTGGTGACAAAAATGAGGTTACAAACAGTTTAAACTACCCGATGGGACAGACCATCGGAAATTACTCTTTAGTATACGTAATCTTAGTATTTAAATCCTTAAAAATGTGCTATATTTTGAAGATTTAAATCAAGAGCTTACGTTGGAAACTGGTAAGTCATGAAACGACATGATATTCTTCTGATGCTTGGTGAATTGACCGACACGTAGCTTCGTTCAATGCTAAACACGGTACAAAAAGGACCATCAAAGATGGTGTTTAATTGATACGTTTTAAGTGCTAGTAAGAAGTTACAGTAATTGTAAATATGACAGTATTATTCCAAAATAAGCAAGTGAATAGCTTAAAAGATAAGAGACGCTATATTTAAAATTAAAATAGACATTATTGTTTATATTGGTCTTCTTCAGCTTGATGTTACTCTATATAAATAAAAGATTTTAAGTGATATTAGAAACAGAAGGTAACTGAAGATTGGAAAACAAAATACTCAATTTCTAAGGAAGAAATATGGCCAATGGATAACATTTCACTCTCATATGGACTCAACTATTACCCAAGGCCAATAAATCCATAACTTACGGACGAATATCGGTAATTTATATTATACATTTATAATTGCAAAAATTTAACATATTAAAAAATAAGAAAACATAAAATTAGCTAAATCAGTTATATTTTTATTACTTTTGCCACACCAGGTTATTCCGCCACAATAGGCGCTTGGTTAGATCTCCCCTTTCAGTGATTCCGACATCTTGCATCCAGATGAGCAACGACGATTCGTGTAACTCCGTGAAGAGTAAGTATGATTTGGCAACCAGGGCTTTCCCTATCTGCGAAAAGGGATAGGTATTCTCAGTGTATGACTTTATAACTTTCAGATAAGCCCCACGTGAAAAAATTATGCATGCCTCAATGTAGTTCTGCACTGAAAAATGTATTGGTGTTTATTGTGGCTTGATGAAATTCATACCTTAAATACACATAAGACGCTTCTTTCTTTGAATCAAGATTTGCTCTAAATCTTAGCAGCTTAACGGAGCGTTTTAATAATTACCTAAGTCTAATTCGATTCCATTGCTGATTGACAATCCTATTCTCATGAGCTATTTTTCACGATCTTCGAATCATAATCCTCATTCATGTGTTCTTAAACTCGGTGTGGTATTCGTCTATTATTTTAATGTTATGCGAAGATTTGCCTAATTCGTTATGAAATTTTGCGGTTGAATAACATTTATTAGTTGTGTGCTTTTTCCGGTTTCTTAGCTCGCTTCTATTCTAATCGCTTACAGCATATACTTATAATAAAACCTATAGAACCCATAGTATGACTGACTCGATCTCTAGTATTATGTAATGTCCGTGGATTTTATTTATTTATTAGTAAGTAACATTTTCTAGAGATGGTAAGCTCTCTGCTTTGTGTTTGACCTGAAATTAAGTTTTGTCATTCATGTTTTCCATTTGGCTGTTCATTTTTCGTTCTATTTTAGAATTGGGTCCTGTGTTCTAATTTACAGTAATGTGTGTGTTTGCCTAAACCAGTTTAAACAAATTTGAGTTTTAGCTTATTTCTTCAGCGTCGGGTACGTTATGAACTTTATTCTTCACTTACATCCACACTCAAACACTGCTTACATCACACTTTTGTGCCCCTAGTCTCTTATATAGTGTGCTTAAGCGCACGTATAAGAATTCAAAGTTAAAGCATGTACACTCTTGTGTATTAGAAATGTTACCTGGTTTTCTTGTTGACCACTTCTCAGATAAGGGTATGCGTCGTTTACCGTAAGCTATTGGTGGTTATTTGCTCAGTTTGTCTGTTGGCTCAAGCACGTTACTGTTAATCGGAAATAGCAGTATACTCCTGCAACTTATTTTAACTCTTTTTATCACTTATTGCTATTTCATCTTAATTTAACCCCCTCCCCGCCATATCGTGATTTGACCTATTTTTCCCAATATTTTTGCTTTATCTTCCTTTAACCAATTATTTAACTAACCCCATTATCTTTTAGCCTCAAAATCGAATTCAGCTTTGGATTCTGTACGTTTTGGTCGTTTTGAATATTTTTACTTGTTTGACTATTTAAAAAGTCCTATCGTTACTATTTTAGAATGGGGCGTCAGGAGACTCTAGTCAACTCAATAACCACGAGTAAGTTTTTCGTTTTTAAGTAAAAGAGGTAACCAGACTGCAGATACTAAGCACGAGATTAATGTTCCAACTAGAATAGATTTCGTTCATGAACATCAGTTTACTTTCTTTCCCTACTTTTATACAAATTTAATTACATAGATTTGATACTTTGTGAGCGAAAGGTATGTGTGCAAGCAACGCCGATTGCTTCCTAAACAATTAGCAGCATGTCCCATTTATACTCAACCATATGTTACTTGTCCACATGTTCTATTTTGCCAAAAAGCACGTTTTTACGTTGTTTTCTTCGTATCTTCAGTTTCCTATGGCCTAGAGTAATATCAATGAATTAATCTATGATCGTGTTTTTCTTTTTATAGGACTTCACTATCCTTTCCCCTCAAGCGCAATGCAGCTGCATTACAGGAGCCACCTTCAGTATTCGAGAAATCGCCCGAAGTTCGGCGACCCCAGAAGCGCCCTTTGGTGAAGTCTGACGAGAGAACCCCTAAGAGAGCTCGCATGGATTCCACTGTATCCAAGACTGTGAAATCCGGAGATCTATCTGATAAAATAAGTATGTTCACTTTGCTAATCTTTTTGGTTTGATATTGAACGTTTTTTTGTTCAAGTTTTCTCTGTAATAGGTGAAAACCCTGTGAATTACGAGGAAAGTCCTTCCAAGGATTCTCGTTCGTATCGTTCTCACAAAAGGTCAAAGGAGAAGCATCGAAAGCGCAGTAACAAAAAGCGTATTGATGAAGATGACAGAAAAAATAAAAGACAACACGATAGAACTTCACCTGAGGGCTATGCGGCCCCAACTACAAATCTTGTTGCGTCCTACAGTTCAGATGAGGAAAATGAAGCTACTAAGCCATTAGCACAAATTCGACCCGCTCCGGCTACCCTTCCTCGCACCAAAAGTGTCTCCTCTCCCAAGGTGAAAAGTGAACGTAAAATGCTCTTTACAAGCACTTCTCCCCAAGATTCTACCACAACTAAGGTAACCAAAGAGACTGCTAAATCGACTTGGGACTCAAGTGACAGCGATTTTGAAACTGCACTAGGGGCTCCAATCAAGTCTTCTCAGGAGAATGGAAAGGATGATGGGGTGGTTAAGAAGAAAGAACGTAGCTTGACCCATAGGCATTCTCGGGGAAGATCTCCTACGAGATCTAGTAGCAGTGGTTCTTCTAGTAGGTCTGTATCTTCCTGTTCAACACGAGGTCGAAGGAGTTCTTCTTGCTCTTACTCATCCCGAAGAAGATCTTCCTCAACTTCTCGTTCTAGTTCTCAGAGTAGTCGTAGTTTATCTAGATCGTATCGAAGACGAAGTCGTTATAAAACGCGCAGATATCACGGCCGTAGACACCGCCGTAGGTCAACTACTAGATCTTTTTACTCGGACAGTTCTTATTCAAGGTCTTCAAGTCGTGATAGGCGGAGAAGGCGTTATTCTAGAAGTAGGAGTGATTCTTATCGCCGAAGATCTTATCGTTCGTATTCCTCTCGAAGTCGGCGTGGACGTTATTCCTCATCTGATCGATCACATTCCCGTGATAGCTCGCGTTCTCCTACTCCCCCTGTTTGCAGAAGAACAATCTCCAATAGTCGGCTTTCTAGTAATGTTGTTGTTACTACTTCAGGAGTGATAAATGCTACATCTGTACCTATTAAGAGTACCTTTACTAAAGCACATAAACCCTCTCAAGTTGTGGCCGCGGCGGCTAGTGAAGCTGTTAAAAAAGTAACCGGACGGATTGACCCCAGTCCATCTGTCTCTCCTCTTTCTTTATCCAAACTGGAGGAAACTTCGTCCTCATCAAAAGAAGCAGCTGTTTCACCCCCAAAAACTGAAGAAAAGAAAGAGGAAGCTGGAAATGTGGAATCGGAAGCTAAGAAAGATGTTGCAAATTACATTGGACCTCAAGTTCCACCGGATATGGCTAAAAAATTGGGTCTTAGTTTAGACGCTACATCAACTTCTGGTGGTAATAATACCTCTTGGAAGGCTCATGTTGGTGCCAAAAAGAAATCAGATAAACTGCTGATCGAAAATGTGAAGAAATCCGAAGATAACAAGGCAGATTTCATGATTCCTCCTGAAAAGGATGAGGAATATAGAGGTCAGTGTTAATTTTAAAATAATGTTTTAAATAGGTTCCTTTAAGAATTTAGGAACTTATGTTATTTTAGATCATATTTTTGCGATAGGTGTGACTTGTATGCATTGCGTAGGTGTGTTCTGTTTATTTAAAGCTATCCTTTATTTGATCGTCTTAGTTGATGTGCGGTGCTCGAGATTACATTCTGAAAGATGATATTTTAACCACTTGTTATTTCTCACTGCGCCCATAGTACTCTTCGCAAAATCATTTTAGATTATGAAATAGAATGGACACAGCATATTTTTTTCCAGTTGAATCTTAACATGAAGAGTGGATGTATGGGGAATTGTCCGCATCCTATAATGCGTTGTATTTGCATCTCATCTTTTATTTCTCTTTCGCTCTTCCTTCCCTATTCAGCTCTACAGGCAAAGGCACAGGCTCATGCTCAACAGAGACAGCTGCAAGCAGCAACTCAGCAACAGCAATTAGCTGCTATTTCCAACGTCACACCATTTACCGCCGCCGCGGCAGCAGCAGCAATGTTGCATAATGGACAATCGGCTGTCGCCCTACCACATATTACCATTGAACAACTGAGAGCGAGGCAAAATGTGTGTCTTTTATCTGGTCATCAAGAGCAGGCTATTCAATTGGAGTCTTATATCAGACAGCAACAGCAAGCTGAAAACGTGTCTGCTGCCCTGCAACAACAACAGCAACAGCAACAGGTAGGGTGTTTGTCGATAAAACTTGAAAGTGTTCCAGCTGACATTTCAGATGTGTACAATGAACTTCTATTTTGCTTAAATTTGTATAGCTCGTAGGCAAATTTTACCATCATATTCTAGTTCTAATATCATGTAGATATGTTAATGCAATAGGCCCCTACCTAGTTTACTGTGATGAGGAATAAAACACTTCAAATCTTGTACCAGATCTTCAATTATGCTTTGGAATGAGGATGAGAATTACAATTTAGTATTCGTGTCTTGAACGTACTTTTGATATTACAGGTGTACAGTTTATCAGATAATTTCAAATGAACAACTGTCACTTGGATAAATTTCTTGACTTTTCACTGGCTTCTGTTTTACCTTCTGTTACATATTTGTTTACTAACTTAATGTCTTAAGCTTTTTTAGCTGCAAAAATAACTTGGATGCTCTCATTTAAAAACAGAACACTCACCATAGTGTGAACATTTTCCCCATCACTATCAAAACCTTAAGAGAATTCGAAAATATGTGCCTGAACTTATAGTTTTATTTGATATTAGAACTCAGAAGACATTCCAAAGACCAGCGTTTGATGCTAGTTTAATTGTAATGCTTTTGAATGAATTTTATTCTCAAGTAAGTCGGATGAGGTACAGGTTTTATAATATTATTGGAACGATTACTTTACACTAATCCATTTTTCAGAGGGTAGGGAGGCTAACTTGTTGAAATTTTGGCCATGAAACGGGAAGGTTTTTTTGATGGGAGCTAATGTTTAAAACATTACATTTTTGTAACCACCGCTTTCACAAATCGGTTCTAATTTGTTTTATCTTTAACACTGTATAGCGCTTTAGTTAGTGTAAGTTTTTTTGCGTTTAATTTCTTTCTCTAACTGTAGTCATAGTTTTCAGGCTTGCGTTGCAATGGGCTTTTATGGAACTTGGGATGTTCCTCATGGGTTTTTAACACAATCATTATTTCTATTTCAGTTTGGATTTCATGATCATTTGTAAGTTTGAAATCTAATGCCCAAGTGGTTTATGCCTTGTGGAATAAGCATAGTCCGGATTAGTCATTGTAACGCCTTTGATTCTTATTTTGATCGAATATTTTTTTCTTCTTTCAGCTTCTTCAAATGATGGCTTTGCATCAGCAACAGCAACAAAATGCGGCACTTTTAATGGCGGCTCAACAAGCAAATCCCATTCATACTGCTCAGCAAGCCGCTCTTCTGCTTGCTGCCCAGCAAAATCAACACCAAGCTACTATTACGGACCATTCTGCCTTGCTTGCAGCTCAGGTCCAACAGCAGGCTCAGGCACATCAGGCTTTAATCCAAAGACAGGTTAGTTCTCATCTTCACTTTCTACCTCTCCTCTTTCCCTTTTTTTGGTGTGTGTAAAATAATGACTCATTTCTATATCTTTACTTTTGCACATTCTCTCGGTAACTATTTAGGTGCTACCAATCGCTCAATGTGTTTTTACTTGATGTGGGTCTTTTATTTATACTCAATGTCCGCGCAGCTGTTAGTCTGTCTCTTTCCCGCTAATTTCTCCCCTCCAACATCATTTTCATAGTCAATCCTTTTTTTGTTCCTCTGTCATCTTAACTAACTAACTACACCCTATAGCTAGTTGACTAGCTTTGCGTTTCTAATGCTCTCTCTCACACCTAAATTTGCTATTTTAGATGGAGCCAGTAGTTTAAGAGTGTATGTACACTTATCCCTCAATGCTTTATTTTTATTGCATGCGCTTTTTTACTTGTGGTATGTTCTGCTCGCATGAAGTTGTGTGAGTCTTATCAGTGTGCGTGTATGTGTGATTGTTTTCGCCTCACACATGTTCGGAGCTTAATCTAAACCGAACTCTTAATCATTCCTTAATTTCATTTCTTTTCTGTTATTTGCTCTCGCGGTGTGTACCTAGGTAACCGAACTGCACAAGCTCGGTAAGCTATGGTGAATTTAGACCATATGTTTTCGCTATCTCATGGTTACTTTTTCACTCTTTGTAATGTGCGCTTCTAGGGTACTAAGCATGCTAGTTCTCTATCATCTCATTTTCATTTTTCAAGAATGAAGTCAATCCCATCTCCATGCATGATTCACTAACTCACTGCTTTCCCCGTCGATTCAACTCCTTTTTTAGTGTCTAGTAGCTTTGTGGAATTTCCTATCTCATGTATTATAACAGCCTCTCTCCCTAGTGCTCGTATTTTGTATGTGTACGTATGTTTAATTGCGCTCATAATTCATTCCCTTATTACAACCTTTTAGTCACTTCCTACCGTTGACAGTTTGCAGGTAATGGTCTAGTTTGTCACCCCTCCCCCCCCCCCCCCCCCCCCTCCCCCTCGGTATATGTTATCCCCTTTCTGCCCTATTTTTGTTCGCATTTCGTTTATCGCTTATTCGAATATATTCACTGTCATTAAACACCGGATTCTCTGTCCCTATCTCAAAGTTGTTTGCACTTTCTCGATTAATCAATTAAACTCGATTACTTCTAACAAGCACTATGAGTTGAATTATAAGGTAAGTTTATAAAAGGACGCGAATGCTAGCTATTAAACAAAACGCAGCATGGTCTTATCAATCCTCCCTTGGGCTTTTTCTCAGATTTACATATACGCCCTCCCTTTTCTCCCTTATGCGTGCGTGCGAGCAAGTGTCTAGGCCACGTCTATTCTCTCGTAACTTCGCAATATTTTTTACACTACTACAACTTCCTCCCAATGTATCCAGTGCAGCTCGGGTCTTTACTAACGATTCTCTTCCTCTGTTTTGCCTCTAGATTTTGAATGCTACGGCTTTACAGCAACAACAAATTCTTCAAATGCGGCTTTATGCATCTTCAACTGCTGCGACCGCTGGTAACCAAGCTGTTATTCAAGCACTCCCAGCCAATACATCAACAACGGCTGGTCAACAGCAGGCCTTTGTTAATGGAGGGGTAGGAGCCAACACCACGACATCAACTACTGCAAATGAGACTACGACGTCGAATGATGCTGTAAATACTAATCCATTGATGGCTGCGGTTGCGGCGGCTCAAAGGAATCAGGCTATTAACCAGGAGCATGCTCAACAACAACTGAATGCTGCTGCGATGGTTGGTGCTGCTGCCGCTGCTGCTGCTGCTGTGAGAATGCTTATCCTATTTGACATTATTAATTACTTCTCGTTGGGCAAAAGCGCATATTCCTTAACACGTGGAGACACCCTATTGGTTGAATAAATAGTTTTACTTTACACTATCCAGCCCTAATCTTGGTGTAGGTTAACGCGGCAAATATTTGGCAAAAAGTCAAGTAAAATAGTACTCCCAACTCAATCGCAAAATCTGCGATAGGTTAGTCAAGATGCATAAAGGTTGTTATTCTGCCCAAAAACTCATCATTGTTGTGCTTATAAACCTGTCGAACGTGTAATAGTTTGCTTCGATTTTTTTCAAATTGCGCTTCTTAATTGAGTGCTCGTTACTAACCTCCTCTGCCGACCTGCAGTTTTCAGTTCACTGTGGCTAATGGTGAAATATTTGGCCGGCCATGTTTTATTTCATTTTCATTAAGCTCTAAGTTTTATTGTCTTTTGGTTTTGGCTGACGGATGAACATTTATAATCGCAGGTAATTTGTATAGTAGTTGACACTACAAGGTTTCTCTGTCTTCTTAATTTTTTTTAAGAAACGATGTTTTGAGCCCACATTGCCAGTCTGACAACATTGTTGAATCCATTATAGTAGAAATTAGTCCTGAGAAATTGCTTCAAGT